CTTCCAGTTTTTAATAATGCCTTGGACAGTTCTTAACCCAATTTTAGTAGTTGTGCAATCTCTTTACAGTAGATGTTTTCTCTGCTTGACGCATGCCAATGATTTGACCCTTCTCAAACAGACTAACATCTTTTCCACGACCACGGGATGTGTCTTTCCACATGGTTGTTTAGGAAATGAGAAGCAAGTCATTGCACCAGTTGGGGTTAAATAACTTGTTGCCAGCTGAAAGATAATTGCCTGTGCATTGGCCAGGTAGTGTATCAATTGAAATCATTTAAAAATAATTTACTCTGCCGATATTAGACATTATAACATGTTTGAAGCAGATCTAAAACAAAATGAAAAAGGACAAACAAGAAAAGAAAAAAATCTGCTTGAGGGAAATACCTCCAGGCTGAAAAGAAATGATAAAGTTAACAGGTTTAAATATCAAAATGGTTGCGATGGGTGAACATACCTGAGAGTTTCCAGTTTACAGTCTGGACTCTGCAGTCCAACAGAGAGCAGCTTCACTCCTGAATCCTGCAGGTCGTTGTAACTCAGGTCCAGTTCTCTCAGACTGGAGCAATTAGAGCTGAGAACCTGAGAGAGAACTTCCAGGGATGCTTCTGATAATTTACAGCTTTTTAACCTAAAAAAGAGGGAGCTGAATTTAGGGATCTTATCATGTTTCATTTGATGTTGTTCCTCCAAAAAGAAAATATTTTAAGGTAGATGTACATAAGTCTTAATAAAATGTGCTTGTGCATTCTAGATATATAAAAAAAAAAAAAAAAACAGAAAATGAAAACCAGCATCATTGCCATAAATTAGCAGAATGGAACTTGACTTAGAATGAAACATCCAACTTCTATGCAATACAAATAATTAAATCTATTGAAAAATATCTTTCATTACTACTTTAGTAAACCTTAAAGTAATATGACCACTAAGTATAGTTCTCAGGTTTACAGTTTCTCTTTTTTTTTGTCACTCCCACCGTCTCTTCATCTCCTCACGTCAAGAGGAGAGGGTGTCATCCTAGATATTTCATTAACCCCCCATCCTTAACATTACATGTTCTGCCTATTTTCTTCTTCAAACCATTATACTATCTGGACAAGACTCTGCAGAACATTTAAACCTTATGGATAAAGGACATTCTTTGGAGGGGCAGAATGTAGACATTTTGGACAATGAAGACAGGTGGTTTGAGAGGTGCGAGAAGGAACCCATCTATGTTAAGAAAGAAAAACCAACCTTAAACAGAGGAGGTGGACTCAATTCCAACAACCATACAAGAGAGCAGAAAACCTCGCCTATTCAGCCAGGCCCACAATTCCCATTAACGACCCCCCTTTCAGAGACATAGACAGGTACGGGGCATTGCAGGCTAACAAATAAGCCAAACGTTCCCCATTCCAAAGGGGTGAACCCGTTCGTCAGTTTCAATTTGCATGTCATGTTCTTTGTCAGAATTCATCGGCTTGCTTAATCCCCCCCCCCCAAATAAATGAAACTCTGGAATTCATTGCCTTCTGTTACCCATCCACCCATCTTCTCCCGCTTAGTCCTTGTTGGAATCGCTGTCATGCCAGTGCCTACACCTGGCAGTCTATGAGCAGCCGTTCAAAACAGCCCTTCCTAGTCAAACGCCAGCCGAATGGCATTCTACTCGCCTGCAACTCCCAGCAAAATCCCCTCCAACTTTCAGACACTGGCCTACTCCTGGGCGTGCATTTTTTTTCACTCCGACTCCACCCTTTCTCTGAATTACAGGGTCTGACCAGGAGATGATGGACCTGACAGAATATTTTAGTACAAAGATCGGTGCTTTTAAAAGGAATCTTATGGGAACCAGTCAAGGACCTGCCAAGGGCACATCAAGGAAGGTTGGGGGATTTCTAATGGCTGCTACTGTACACACACACACTCACACCTAAGGCAATTAGAACATTTAGATAAAGTAAAAGAAGCCGGAGTATGTGGTGAGAACTCACGTATGCATGGGGAGAACATGCATACGTCTTGATTGGTTTTAGTCTTGAATCAAGACTAAAACCTCTCCTGTTCCAGACCTTCCCTGATTGCACTGTCCTGTTTTTAGTATTTTTTAGTGCTGATGATTTTTGTTATAGTGTTTTGAAACCTACTTTAAAAGTCGTATTTATAATGTAGTATTATTGTCATTAATCTATTTAAATTATTCCCTCTTGATTTGATAGAGAAAATATTTCTGGTTGACTCACAGTGCTTTGCTGGAGGCCTTCAGAACAGGCAGGAGCTGCAGCAGAACCCTGTCTGAAGCAGAGTACTTCTTCAGGTCAAACTCAATTGGGTGGTTTTCTGAGGACAGTAGGATGAAGTTCAGGGCGGACCATTGGCTGTCTGTGAGTAGACTTCCTGATCTCAGGACGTATTCTATCTCCTCCCCGATAGAATCATCCTTCAGCTCATTCAGACAGTGCAGCATGGTTATCATTTTTTCTGGTGATTTACTCCGTCTGATTTTCCTCTTGATGTATTTACTTGTTTCGTTGTTAGACCATGTGACATTTCCTGTTGGTGTCAGCAGGCCAGCCATACGGACCTGGGTTGTTTGCAGAGAAAGACCCATGATGAACCGTAGGACCAGGTTTAGCTTTCCATTTGGGCTTTTCAGGGCTCTTTTCAACGCCCTCCTGTGAACCTTTGTTGCAGATATTCTGCTGAATAATTGGGGCCAATCATCAGTGTTAAACCATGACACATGCATAACATTTCTGTTGTAGGTGATCAGTGAAATAATCACATGAACAGCAGCAAGAAACTTCTGAATGCTGGAATGAGCAAAGCAGAACATCTGTTCCTCCTCTGACTTCTTTCCAGGAAACACCTTAAAGATCTTTTTAAACAACCTGGAATAGAACAATGCAGTTCCACCCGTAAGGCCACATCTCCTTAAGTCTTCCTCGGTGAACACTGTTTGATCTTTCAGGATGTTCTGAAAGGCTAGTTTGGCCAAAGATTTGATGCACTTTTCCGGAGCATACTTCTTCTCTGTGTGGTTGATCTGAGCCATCAGAAACTCTGCGTACATCTCTGTCAGGGTGTTTGGCAGCTCTTCTCCCTCTCTGGCCTCCAAGAACTCCTCCAGAACCGTAGCAGTGATCCAGGAGAAGACTGGGGTGTAGCACAGGATATGGAGGCCTTGTGATGTGTTTATGTGGGAGATGATCCTGTTGGCCTTCTCTTCATCTGTGAATCTCTTCCTAAAGAACTTGTCTCTCTTCAGGTTAGTGAACCCTCTGAGCTCCGTTACCATGTCAACACACTTAGCAGGGATGTGATTGGCTGCTGCAGATTGTGTGGTAATCCAGAGACAAGCAGAAGGAAGCAGTTTCTTCATGATGAGATTAGTCAGAAGCACTTCTACTCTGGTTGACTTTCGGATATCCGGCTTTCGTGTTCGGCCGGTAAAATCAAGTTCAAGGAGATTCTGATCCAGACCATCGATAACAAACAGAAGCTTAAATTTCTTTCTTTCATCAATAGTGTGTTGGACGTCTTGTAGGTCTGTAAAGATTTCATTAAACATTTCCTCTGTAATAGATGCCATTTCTGGAACACACGTGTGAATTAGCTCTGCTAGCCTGAAACTCTTTCCTCTACATAAACCCAGCTGGCGAGCATCAAAAGGAAAAACCAGATGAAATTCTTGACCTGCTCGACCTTCGGCCCAGTCCAGCATAAACCTCTCCACAAGGAAGGACTTGCCAATGCCAGCTTCGCCTTTGGTCACCACTGTTTTGCTGCATTGACCTCCTCTGGAAAGATGTTGGAACATGGTGCTGACTTCGACTGGTCTAGATTTTTGAGAGGCTGTGGATTTATGCTGATGCCTGTCCATGATGAACAGCTCTGGATCAATGTAACATGAAAACTCAACACAACGCTTCTCCAACCAGCCCTCCTTCACAGAACTGAACATACTGTGAAAGTCGAACTGCAGTGCAGCTTGACCAGATGTGGTTGGAAGATCAGATGGATTGGACATCTTCACATCTGTCAAAAACAGAAACAACTGGTGAGAAATCTGTCCCCATAAAGAAAAAAAAATGGCATCTATGCCAGCTGTAGGAAGGGCAGAATACAGATAAACCTGGAATAAAATAACATAATGTCAAGACTCAGAACTGAGGACCGGGAATTTGAGGCACAAAAATTCACAAAAGGGTTTCTTAATAGACGTCAGATCTGCAACTCAGCAGCTAGGGTGTCTAAGGCAGGAATCTCTATAGAGAGAAACTCAGGTTCCTAGTGACCACGTAAATCTGACAGAGGATGATTACAAGTGTGTGAGTCACTAACCTGGTTTTAGAGTTGAGTCCTTGCCCAGAAATAGGAGTGTAATCCAGCCGGATGGCTAACAACAGCCCGCTGTGAACACCACCCAGAGAGTTCCAGGAGCTGGAAGGAAGCAGATCTAGGTTCATTCCACAGGCAGAAACCAGCAGGAGTCTAAAGACAGGTCAGGCAAACAAATCCGAAACAGAAACAGGAAGGCTCAAAAGTCCGAAGAAAGAACTGGTCAGGATCAGGCCATCGGAACAACATCAGGTATGCTAGAGAACCCTCACCAAAGGTTTAAATAATCTGGCACTGAGGACTGAGAGCAAGCAGATTTAAATTTAATAAAGACTATATACAGGGACATGTCCACTGTTTTCTATCTAAGGAAGCTCAACTGATTGTATGTAGTTGAGCTGAAATAGCAGAGGTGAATAATCCAGGCCCAGGAAGTAAAAACTGGAACTGCAAATGGTTGGAACTGATCTCTGTATCCAGGGGATCTAATACTTGGTGGACTTGGAGGGGTACGGCCCAGAGGAAATGTCTGTATTTCTGCCAGGTTTATCTTGGATAAAGAATTAAGAGTTTTCACATAGATCATCCTGATCAGTCTGGGATCTGCCCTTAGGGGCGGGGTTCTGTTCTCATTACCCACTCACCTGATCCACCTGCAATGGTCACTATTTAAAGGAATAGTACACCCAAAACATGANAGCAGCTTCACTCCTGAATCCTGCAGGTCGTTGTAACTCAGGTCCAGTTCTCTCAGACTGGAGCAATGAGAGCTGAGAACCTGAGACAGAACTTCCAGGGATGCTTCTGATAATTTACAGTCTGCTAAACTAAAAATAGAAAATGTGAATTTAGAACTTTAAAGAAATGATGATGGTTTCCCTGCTGTTGTTTCTCTTAACCAAAACAAACAAATAATTATTTTGAGTTAAATGCACATAAATGAAATAAAAAGTTTTCGGTGCTCTAGCCAAGCTGAGTTTTGCTGAGTCAAACTGAGTTTTTTGTCTACCTGAGTTTTAACCTCTCTGTTTTTGTTTTTGCCTCTCGGCAGGAAGTCATCCTGCAAACTGGATTTTTCTGACCTTCTCTCCCTGGAAGGATCATCTGAGCTTCAAACTGAGCTGAGGATTTAAACTGTAGGTTTGAATCTACTTTCCACAAGAGATCGTTTGAACTTCACACTGAGCAAGGGATTCATCTCCACTACGACCAAGTACGATCAAGTACCGCAGGAAATCTGAGTAGCAGTCACTTCTCCGTTCACCTATTAACAACCGCATTCTAGGTAAACCCTGTCCGCCCTCTGCAGGTGTGTGAGGAGGCGGACCAGAACCAGGCGCCTCCTGGTGGAGGAAGGGAGACAAACACAGAAACACAGACAGAAATCCTGACAGGAACAGGGTTAATCTGGACTCATCAGACCACATGACCTTCTTCCATTGCTCCACAGTCCAATCTTTATGCTCCCTAGCAAATTGAAGCCTTTTTTTCCAGTTAGCCTCACTGATTAGTGGTTTTCTTACAGCTTCACAGCTGTTCAGTCCCAATCCCTTGAGTACCCTTTGCATTGTGCGTGTGGAAATGCTTTTACTTTCAGTATTAAACATAGCCCTGAGTTCTACTGTTGTTTTTCTTCCATTTGATCTCACCACACGTTTAAGTGATCGCTGATCACAATCATTCATGATTTTTTTCCGGCCACATTCCTTCCTTGAAGATGATGGGTCCCCACCATCCTTCCAGTTTTTAATAATGCGTTGGACAGTTCTTAACCCAGTTTTAGTATTTTCTGCAATCTCTTAGTTTTCTCTGCTTGACGCATGCCAATGATTTGACCCTTCTCAAACAGACTAACATCTTTTCCACGACCACGGGATGTGTCTTTCGACATGGTTGTTTAGGAAATGAGAAGCAAGTCATTACACCAGCTGGGGTTAAATAACTTTTTGCCAGCTGAAAGATAATTGCCTATGCACTGGCCAGGCAGTGTATCAATTGAAATCATTCAAAAATGATTTACTCTGCCGATATTAGACATTATAACATGTTTGAAGCAGATCTAAAAAAAAATGAAAAAGGACAAAAAAGAAAAGAAAAAATCTCCTTGAGGGAAATAACTCAAAAAGAAATGATAATGTTAACAGGTTTAAACATCAAAATGGCTGCGATGGGTGAACATACCTGAGAGTTTCCAGTTTACAGTCTGGAGTCTGCAGTCCAACAGAGAGCAGCTTCACTCCTGAATCCTGCAGGTCATTGTAACTCAGGTCCAGTTCTCTCAGACTGGAGCAATGAGAGCTGAGAACCTGAGAGAGAACTTCCAGGGATGCCTCTGATAATTTACAGCTTTTTAACCTAAAAAAGAGGGAGCTGAATTTAGGGATCTTATCATGGTTCATTTGATGTTGTTCCTCCAAAAATAAACAATTTTAAGGTAGATGTACATAAGTCTTAATAAAATGTGCTTGTGCATTCTAGATATATATCAAAAAAAAAAAACAGAAACTGAAAACCAGCATCATTGCCATAAATTAGCAGAATGGATCTTGACTTAGACCAAATATGAGCAGAGTGGTGTATGCAGAAACCAAACAACCTCTCCACAGATGCATGGCCTAACACAGAAGAGCACCCTCCTCTGGACAAGACTCTGCGGTACATCTACACCTGATGGACAAAGGATATTCTTTGGAGGGGCAGAATGTAGACATTTTGGACAAAGGAGACAGGTGGTTTGAGAGGGGCGAAAAGGAACCCATCTATGTTAAGAAAGAAAAACCAACCTTAAACAGAGGAGGTGGACTCAATTCCAACAACCATACAAGAGAGCAGAAAACCTCGCCTATTCAGCCAGGCCCACAATTCCCATTAACGACCCCCCTTTCAGAGACATAGACAGGTACGGGGCATTGCAGGCTAACAAATAAGCCAAACGTTCCCCATTCCAAAGGGGTGAACCCGTTCGTCAGTTTCAATTTGCATGTCATGTTCTTTGTCAGAATTCATCGGCTTGCTTAATCCCCCCCCCCCAAATAAATGAAACTCTGGAATTCATTGCCTTCTGTTACCCATCCACCCATCTTCTCCCGCTTAGTCCTTGTTGGAATCGCTGTCATGCCAGTGCCTACACCTGGCAGTCTATGAGCAGCCGTTCAAAACAGCCCTTCCTAGTCAAACGCCAGCCGAATGGCATTCTACTCGCCTGCAACTCCCAGCAAAATCCCCTCCAACTTTCAGACACTGGCCTACTCCTGGGCGTGCATTTTTTTTCACTCCGACTCCACCCTTTCTCTGAATTACAGGGTCTGACCAGGAGATGATGGACCTGACAGAATATTTTAGTACAAAGATCGGTGCTTTTAAAAGGAATCTTATGGGAACCAGTCAAGGACCTGCCAAGGGCACATCAAGGAAGGTTGGGGGATTTCTAATGGCTGCTACTGTACACACACACACTCACACCTAAGGCAATTAGAACATTTAGATAAAGTAAAAGAAGCCGGAGTATGTGGTGAGAACTCACGTATGCATGGGGAGAACATGCATACGTCTTGATTGGTTTTAGTCTTGAATCAAGACTAAAACCTCTCCTGTTCCAGACCTTCCCTGATTGCACTGTCCTGTTTTTAGTATTTTTTAGTGCTGATGATTTTTGTTATAGTGTTTTGAAACCTACTTTAAAAGTCGTATTTATAATGTAGTATTATTGTCATTAATCTATTTAAATTATTCCCTCTTGATTTGATAGAGAAAATATTTCTGGTTGACTCACAGTGCTTTGCTGGAGGCCTTCAGAACAGGCAGGAGCTGCAGCAGAACCCCGTCTGAAGCACAGTACTTCTTCAGGTCAAACTCAATTGGGTGGTTTTCTGAGGACAGTAGGATGAAGTTCAGGGCGGACCATTGGCTGTCTGTGAGTAGACTTCCTGATCTCAGGACATATTCTATCTCCTCCCCGATAGAATCATCCTTCAGCTCATTCAGACAGTGCAGCATGGTTATCATTTTTTCTGGTGATTTACTCCGTCTGATTTTCCTCTTGATGTATTTACTTGTTTCGTTGTTAGACCATGTGACATTTCCTGTTGGTGTCAGCAGGCCAGCCATACGGACCTGGGTTGTTTGCAGAGAAAGACCCATGATGAACCGTAGGACCAGGTTTAGCTTTCCATTTGGGCTTTTCAGGGCTCTTTTCAACGCCCTCCTGTGAACCTTTGTTGCAGATATTCTGCTGAATAATTGGGGCCAATCATCAGTGTTAAACCATGACACATGCATAACATTTCTGTTGTAGGTGATCAGTGAAATAATCACATGAACAGCAGCAAGAAACTTCTGAATGCTGGAATGAGCAAAGCAGAACATCTGTTCCTCCTCTGACTTCTTTCCAGGAAACACCTTAAAGATCTTTTTAAACAACCTGGAATAGAACAATGCAGTTCCACCCGTAAGGCCACATCTCCTTAAGTCTTCCTCGGTGAACACTGTTTGATCTTTCAGGATGTTCTGAAAGGCTAGTTTGGCCAAAGATTTGATGCACTTTTCCGGAGCATACTTCTTCTCTGTGTGGTTGATCTGAGCCATCAGAAACTCTGCGTACATCTCTGTCAGGGTGTTTGGCAGCTCTTCTCCCTCTCTGGCCTCCAAGAACTCCTCCAGAACAGTAGCAGTGATCCAGCAGAAGAATGGGATGTAGCACAGGATATGGAGGCCTTGCGATGTGTTTATGTGGGAGATGATCCTGTTGGACTTCTCTTCATCTGTGAATCTCTTCCTAAAGAACTTGTCTCTCTTCAGGTTAGTGAACCCTCTGAGCTCCGTTACCATGTCAACACACTTAGCAGGGATCTGATTGGCTGCTGCAGATTGTGTGATAATCCAGAGACAAGCAGAAGGAAGCAGTTTCTTCATGATGAGATTAGTCAGAAGCACTTCTACTCTGGTTGACTTTCGGATATCCGGCTTTCGTGTTCGGCCGGTAAAATCAAGTTCAAGGAGATTCTGATCCAGACCATCGATAACAAACAGAAGCTTAAATTTCTTTCTTTCATCAATAGTGTGTTGGACGTCTTGTAGGTCTGTAAAGATTTCATTAAACATTTCCTCTGTAATAGATGCCATTTCTGGAACACACGTGTGAATTAGCTCTGCTAGCCTGAAACTCTTTCCTCTACATAAACCCAGCTGGCGAGCATCAAAAGGAAAAACCAGATGAAATTCTTGACCTGCTCGACCTTCGGCCCAGTCCAGCATAAACCTCTCCACAAGGAAGGACTTGCCAATGCCAGCTTCGCCTTTGGTCACCACTGTTTTGCTGCATTGACCTCCTCTGGAAAGATGTTGGAACATGGTGCTGACTTCGACTGGTCTAGATTTTTGAGAGGCTGTGGATTTATGCTGATGCCTGTCCATGATGAACAGCTCTGGATCAATGTAACATGAAAACTCAACACAACGCTTCTCCAACCAGCCCTCCTTCACAGAACTGAACATACTGTGAAAGTCGAACTGCAGTGCAGCTTGACCAGATGTGGTTGGAAGATCAGATGGATTGGACATCTTCACATCTGTCAAAAACAGAAACAACTGGTGAGAAATCTGTCCCCATAAAGAAAAAAAAATGGCATCTATGCCAGCTGTAGGAAGGGCAGAATACAGATAAACCTGGAATAAAATAACATAATGTCAAGACTCAGAACTGAGGACCGGGAATTTGAGGCACAAAAATTCACAAAAGGGTTTCTTAATAGACGTCAGATCTGCAACTCAGCAGCTAGGGTGTCTAAGGCAGGAATCTCTATAGAGAGAAACTCAGGTTCCTAGTGACCACGTAAATCTGACAGAGGATGATTACAAGTGTGTGAGTCACTAACCTGGTTTTAGAGTTCAGTCCTTGCCCAGAAATAGAAGTGCAATCCAGCCAGATGGCTAACAACAACCCGCTATGAACACCACCAAGAGAGTTCCAGGAGCTGGAAGGAAGCAGATCTAGGTTCATTCCACAGGCAGAAACCAGCAGGAGTCTAAAGACAGGTCAGGCAAACAAATCCGAAACAGAAACAGGAAGGCTCAAAAGTCCGAAGAAAGAACTGGTCAGGATCAGGCCATCGGAACAACATCAGGTATGCTAGAGAACCCTCACCAAAGGTTTAAATAATCTGGCACTGAGGACTGAGAGCAAGCAGATTTAAATTTAATAAAGACTATATACAGGGACATGTCCACTGTTTTCTATCTAAGGAAGCTCAACTGATTGTATGTAGTTGAGCTGAAATAGCAGAGGTGAATAATCCAGGCCCAGGAAGTAAAAACTGGAACTGCAAATGGTTGGAACTGATCTCTGTATCCAGGGGATCTAATACTTGGTGGACTTGGAGGGGTACGGCCCAGAGGAAATGTCTGTATTTCTGCCAGGTTTATCTTGGATAAAGAATTAAGAGTTTTCACATAGATCATCCTGATCAGTCTGGGATCTGCCCTTAGGGGCGGGGTTCTGTTCTCATTACCCACTCACCTGATCCACCTGCATTAGTCACTATTTAACCAGCCTTCAGACCACTCATCAGTGCCAGATTATTTCCAGCGGATGGTTAGACTGATTTAACATTGCTGCATTCTGATTACCTGATGTTACCTGACTTGTTCTGCCTCTCGACCTCTGAGCCTGCCTTTTCCCATCTGATCTGTTTGCCTGCCCTGTCTTCTGATTCCTGCCTGATCTCTGCCAGCTTGTGTACTGAACAAGAACCATTTCCCAACCGCTGAGTCCTGCCTGCACTCATCCAACCTGTCAGCCCAATTGTGTACGGAACCTGGAACTGTGACCTGACTCCATCTTGGATTCTCCTTCAGCGATCTCTGACCTCCTGGCTCTGACAATCTACCACGCCAGTGATATCGGCTTTGGCTTCTCCATCTGGATCATCCTGCCTACATCCGTCTGCTTGGTTCTGATCTCCTGCCTGTCCTCTGACCTCCTTTACATCAGCGTCTGGGACTCCCTTGGCAGCCAGCCGGCCTGAACAATCCTCTATCTCTGGACTCAGACTGAACTATAAGATCAGTTATTCCTGCCTTAGACGCCGACGCCGCCCACCCAGATTCTGTTTCCAATAAACGTTCTAAGAAATCTAATTGTCTGCCTTGAATACTGGATCTTTCAGTTCTAAGCCTGACAGAGGCTATTCTGGAACAAAATCCCAAACACCAAAATGCTGTAGCATTGTAGCCCGCCTTACTTTTTATGTTACTATGAAAAAGTGTATAATTATTGTTTATAAACACTTTATTCACTTTAACTATTCATTATAATAATTATTTA